TAAGTGGATGTGAGCCTGTCTCTTAACTTTCTTGTGGGCTCATCATATACCAGTCACATAAACCTCCTTTGAATGTAGAGAAAATGTTAATAATCTTGTCTTTAGAATAAATCGTGCTTAGTTATCTGCTTTTATTTAATAAATTATTTGCCTTTCCCACTCGAATGCAAACTTTGGAACAAGAGGGACTTCTTCTCTGTCTTATTCATTGCTGTATGCCCAAGAGCAGTAAAGAGAGTTTGGAAAGTAGTAGTAAATTTCTCATTAAATACCTGTAAATGGATGGTTAGATGCATAAATGAATAAAAACATCAACCAAAACCAGAATTTGAACAATGACTGGATGATTTATTTTAACTCAGCCAGGAAAACATCTTAACATATGTCTCCCCTTTTGTCCTTCCCTAGTTTCTTCATAACAATCCATCCAAGAGATTTCCAATATAATGTATCTGTATGCTTGATGTTGGGTAGGTTATATAAGTAGAAAAGTGAAATTCAAGAAATTATAGCATTAAGAAAATGTTAGCAAAAGTAAAATTTTACTGTATCTTTTGCATCTACCCAAAAAAAGATTCTACCATGTGTGAAGAAAGAGATTAATTTAATTCAAAGTATATGTAGTTATATGTGTAGCTCTACTAAGGGAATATAGGCATGTCTATATATGAATATAGTCACAGACTTGTAGGAACACTAAAATGTAAGTCAGGTATTTTATTTTACATCCTCCTTTCCTATCTACAATTTTAGGTGAGAACACCCCTTCAATTCCCTCTACATCAAATTTCCTCTTTTCCTAAAAAAAAAAAATGTGGAATTTGTGGGTAGAGTTATTTTTATACAAAATCTTCATAATGTGGGAATTAGACTGTGGTGTGTTTACAGTCATAAGGATATGAATAAGCACCAGAGCTCCTTTATCTGTAACTTTGTGCTCAACATTGCTCCTAATGGCAGCTTGATGGGACTGGTTAGTGATTTCTGGGTTCTGTGATGTGTGGATAAATAACATCAAAGAGTTGGCAGAACACATTCTCTTCCAGGCTTTCCTCCAACATTTTCCTGATGACATAGGGAGAGACGATGAAATAAAAGGATGAAATAAAAATTGATATTTTTTATATTTTTAAATGTCGCTAGATATGAATTAATTTAATCAGTTCGCATAACATATACAGAGCTTAGGATAAAGGCTACTGGCCTGGACTGGTGGCTCATATCTGTAATCCCAGCACTTTGGGAGGCCAAGATAGGAAGATTGCTTGGGCACAAAGGAGAAGTTCGAGACCAGACTCTGCAGCATAGAGAAACCTCGTCTCTACAATAACAACAACAACAACAAAAATTAGCAGAGCATGGTGGTGCATTCCTGTAGTCTCATCTAAGTCCAGGAGGTCAAGGCTGTCGTGAGCTGTGATTATTGTGATCATGCCACTGCACTCCAGCCTGGGAGACAGAGGGAAACCCTGACTAAAAAAAAAAAGTAAAAGACTACTGACAAGTAACTGCAAGGTACTGCAGTTTTACATAAAAAAAAAAATTTAAATTCATTATGGTTAAAGCTTTTATAAAAATGTGAGAAGTTAATGTACTAATTTACACCAATCCAATCACAGACAAATGAAAAGTTGCCAATATATAGTTTTTGTATTCAGGACCGTATTCTACTGGTTGTCTTCCTACTGCACTGACCACTGTTTCAGTTTCCTTTATGGAAGCATATGTCTGTATTCACTGCATTGGTGATCTCACCTAGTTGTGCTCTCCTTTCTATTCTTTTGTCAGGCCTTTCCCATGGAATCCAGACTTGTATATCCCACTGCGATGTTAACCACAGGCATCGAGCTTCATGCACCCAATGCTGAATTCCTGGTTTACTCTCAAAACCACCTTCTCCCAAAGTTCCCCTCACCTTCAGTTATTTCACACTCAGGCTTATAATCTCACAAAACTGTCAGCTCCTCCTGTTTTGTCATAATGCTCACATCCCATTGATGTGAAAGCCCTACTGGCTCTTCCTTCAAATACAGCCAGGTTTAAACCACATCTCCCCAACAGCTGCTAATGTCCTGGTCCAGTCTCCTGACTGCTTCCCTCCTCATGTGGATTCTCACAAAGCAGCCTAGTGATCTAAAGCCCAAGTGAGATCATGTCATTTTCCAGACAGTACCCTCTCCCCCCGCCCCCCAGTGACCCTTCATCTCACTGAGAGAAGTACAAAACCCGTGCAATGGCCTGCCAGGTCTGGGTGGGATCTGACCCTGCATAAGCTCTTTGAATCTAACTCCTATTACTCTCTGTCTTTTGTTCTCCACCCTCCTGCCATAGTGGCTTCTTTTCTGGCCCCCACCCCAGCAGGCCCACTCTAGCTTGATCCTTGGTTCTTGCTGTTTCTTCTACACTCACATTCTTCCCAAGATGTTCAGTCGTTCCCTTGTCTCTCTCAAGTTCTTCTCCATAGGCCACTTCCTAAGGATGGCTCCCTAGACTACCCAATATCCCATCCTTCTTTCTTGCTTAGGTTTCTTCACAATTATTTGTCATCTTCCGACATGGTATATCATCTGCTTTATATACTGTTGAGTTTTATTCTGTCTTTTCCAACTAGAATGAATAAAGGCAGAGATTTGTATCTCTTGTTTACTGTTTTCTTCCCTGGTACTGAGAACAGTGCTGGATCAACAGTAGGTGTTCAATAATGAATTGTTGAATAAATTAATCTCAATGTTATATTTAATGTTACCACTTTCACAGCGAAATGTAGTCAATGGAATTTCAAGATGCAAAAACTCATGAGAAATTGCTAAAATATTCTAGAACTCATTTTTAAAAGTTTCTATTTTGCTGAATTTTTATATAGCTCTTCCATTTGCATATTAAAAGAGAAGATCTGCTCCCTTAAAATACTTGATTAGGGAGCATGATGAGGCACAGCACATCTTTCATAAATTACTTAATTCTTTTGCAAAAATTATTTGTGGAAGTAGCATTTATAAAAAATGATTTGAAATGCTTATATTAATAGAAAAAAGTTATTTCAGGTATCTGTTATTTGATGATAGTTAATCTTATGTAATTCAAAAAAGGAAGTATAAATACATGCAAAGAATGGGAATTTGTTTAAAAAATAGAGACAGAGAGCAAAGACATTTTGTAAAATAAATAGCAAAGTATGATGCTGATAGAAGGAGGTTTTGCTTATGAGACACTGTTTTGAGCTCTTTACACATATTTACTTATTTTATTATTCAGTAATCAGGAATTAGGTGTTATTATTATCCCTTTGTACATATAAGGATATGGAAATAGAGAAGCAGAGAAACGTGCTCAGTGGCATCAGCTAGTAGATGGGCTCATTAGGTTCTCCAGAGAAACAGTATATCTGTATCTATCTTTATCTATTTATATCTATATATAAATATATTTCCTACATCTATATTTACCTCTATTATATAGATATTATATCTATATCTATGTTATGTCTAGATATAGATATAAATATATCCCCATTATAAATCTATCTATATTCCCATAATAAATATTCTCTCTATATATATATATTTATACACACACACATATGTATATATGTGTGTGTGTGTGTGTGTGTGTGTGTGTGTGTTATGAGAACTGCTCATGTAATTATGGAGGCCAAAAAGTTCCACAGTCTACCATCTGCAAGTTTGAGACCCCAAGATGCTGGTGGAGTAACTACATCCAAGTCCAAAGGCCTGAGAATAAGAGAGCTGATGGTGCAAATTCTGGAGTCTGAAGGCTCTTGAGCCAGAAGCTCTGAGGGCAGGAGACGATGGATGTCCCAGCTCGAGAGAGAAAATAATTCTTATTTTCTCTGCCTTTTTTACTCTGTCCAGATCCTTAACAGATTATATGATGTCTGTCCACATTGGTGAAAGTGGATCCTCTTTACTCAGGCTATTGAATCAAAGGCTACTCTTTTCCACAGACACCAGATAATCTGATCCAGAGACACGCTTAGAGACACACCCAGAAATAATGTATTCACCATCTGTTTGGCATGTCTGAGCCCTGTCAAGATGACATATACAATTCACATAAACAAGGCACTTCAGGGAAGGTGGCAGCCTGGTTCTGGAGTCTGTGCTGGTGACACATAGCCAAGATGGAGAAGTTCAAGGAGAATGCCGAGACCCAGAGCACTGCATAACTTACAAAGACACATGCCTGTTTGTTTGCAGAAGGTGAATGGCAATCCCCTCTCCTGCCTCCTGGCTTCCTGCTTAGTTTATTTCACTACCTTCGATTACTTTCCAGATCAGTTCTTCCATTCACAGGAAAGCTCCATAGGTCTTAAGACATAAATAACATTGGTGAGAATATGTCAATATTCTCCCCTTGATATTTGTAAAATTTTGACTTTGTTTACCATTTCCACTTTCAGGATAAGACAACCATAAAGGACTGAGGGACTTACCAAAGACTTCAGGTCAGCAAGTGGCAGGGCCAGTGTTTGAACTCATGACTTTCTGACATCAGAGTTTGAGCACTTGAACGTCCATATTATGCTCTTGTCCTAATTCTTGCTATTTTCCCATTGAGATGATTACATAGAACTTTCTTTTTCTTTCTTATAATTGAGTCTCTGAGTTAGTTTTGTACATGCACATTTTGTGGCAAGTGATTTAAATTCTCTGATTTGTTGCTAAGAAGATTGCCAGGTTTAGAGAGCTCAAACTTGCACTATTTCTGCAGTCCCACTGGCTTGTTAATGTGAGTTCCAGTTCACCCACTATGCCTTATTCTGTGTATGTTTTCAAGGTTTTGTAGCGGTTAGGACCACTACATATGAACTGGCATATTACAATTGTGAATAAATTAAAGTTTAGTGTTATTTTTTTAATGGACATGATATTAAATGTTTCTTTAGTTTCTGTGCAAACTCCATGTCCTTTAAAAAAGTAATTGTTCTAACAATCATTGTAAAACCTTAATGCTACAACATTCTTTCTTTATTATTTAAGCATTATGTGGAGGCTATATTCATGGGAAGAGTGGAACAGTGCTTTCTCCTGGATTCCCAGATTTTTATCCAAACTCTCTAAACTGTACCTGGACCATTGAAGTGTCTCATGGAAAGGGTAAGACTACCTTAAACTCTTAATTTGTATTGTTAAATAAGATTTTGGAAGAAAAGTTGTTAAATTATGGTGCTATAAGCAAAAGTAGATTCCTTGTCTTACTCTATTTCTCGGATAATTTGTCTATATACAAAGGGTGCCAAAACATGTATATACATTTTAATAACGGAAAAACTGTATAAATTGTAATACTCAATGTATACTGATAACAAAAGAGGAATACAAGTCACATCTGACTTCTGCAATTACAAGAGGTGCTCAGAGTGGTTACCATCAGCATCCAGACACTTCTGATTACGATGAACTAAAAGTAATACATAGATAACATCTCTCAAGATGCATATACATTTTTAGCGCCTCCAGTACCTACGAGTATAAGCTTGAAAATTAGGTATAATGGGAAGAAATAGAGGCATCAATGAAATAAATACGAACATTGGTTAAATAAAAGAAAATAAGCAGTAAGCTAAACTTCTAATTTCCATGATAAATCTGTAATAATTTTTGTACTTGCCTTTTGTTTTAAATTTACCCAGTATTATCATATATGTCATCTGTCTTCACGTGATTCAGGGATGTCTCATAAAATTGCTATCATTATCTTGTTTATAAGGATAAATATGGTGAATGCCAGGAAAATTTGTGTTTTGAGTAAGAAATATAGATTATAAACATTGAATTTAGGACTGTATTCTGAGTCTTTTTCTGTGACTAAACTTGTAATTTTTAGGTCTGTTTTGAATATTGATCACATAAATATATGAACTCAACTTGATGTTAAATTGACATATTATATTCTGTATACTGTTACTCTATACTACCATAAATGCACCTTAAAGAATAACTTGACTCTGAAGGACATTATGAATAAAGAAGAAACAGATAATAAGAAACCAAGGTTTTGTAATCATGAAAACATGCATTTTTATTAAAAGTGGCCTATTCATAAAATTTTATTCATTTCTCTGTAGGAATCTAGAGGGCCTACTGATTATTTCTGAATATAATTCTTTATAAACATCATGACCTGTTTTTTATAGATTCATATCTACATTTATATATATATACATCTATTAACTGGAACCTCAAAAGCCTAAAATTTATTTATAAATAGTGCGTATTTATTCTGACATGTTTAAAATTCATTCATCTTCAAAATTCTCTGATGCAATACACCTAACAAGATGCTTTTTCTACTGCTCAAAACAGTTTTGGAACTCATCCATTTTGATGCCTTTTAGTGCTCCTGCAGTTTTTTGTTTCACCTCTTCCACATCAGTAAAATATTTCCCTTTGAGGACTTTTTTAAAAAAACGTCCCTCTGGGCAAGATTGGGTGAATAGGGAGAGTAGAACATGAGAGTGATGCCATTTTTGGTCAAATACTGCTGAACACTCAGTGTGGTGCGGGAAGGTTGTTTGTGTCAATCACCCATCGTGAAATGGGCAAACACATTGAATGAATCTAAAAAAAAAAAAAAAAATCCACAAGCCAAACGCAGCCTCTCACAACAATGCTAGCTGGTACAATTGATGCTGAGGAGTTCCTAGAACACGTATCTAGCAGGGGAAACCCATATCACAAGGGGCTGGCCCTCCAAAAACCAATTCTGAGTTTTTTGGGGTCCTTCCTCATATAGCCACAGCTACATCTACATCTACATCTTTATCTGTAGCTATATATATACGTCAGTATTTATTTATTTAAGCTGTTCAATTCTCCTTTTCTTTCTTTATTTTATTTTATTTTATTTTATTCTTTGAGGCAGAGTCTCACTCTGTCGCCCAGGCTGGATGGAGTGCAGTGGCACGCTCACAGTCACTGCAGCCTCGACTTGCTGGGCTCAGGCAATCCTTTTGCCTCAGCCTTCCAAGTAGTTGGAACTACAGGTGTGTGTCACCATACCCAGCTAATTTTTTAATTTTTTTGTAGACACGAGGTTGCACCAAGTTGCCCAGGCTGGTCTCGAACCCCTGGACTCAGGCAATCCCCTCACCATGGCCTCCCAAAGTGCTGGGATTACAGGCTTGATCCACCGTGCCCGGCCTTCTTTTCTTTATTTCTAAAGCTACCCTCTTTCTACGCATTTTTTTCCTTAAACTTCATAGTTAGATTTACAAATTAATAGTTTAATAATTTTATTTATCTAAACCCAAAATAAATTACGTTTCAGCAAGTATTAATTTACTGACCTTTGTAAATTTACTGACCTCTTCCTCTCTGTTTCCCTCTTTGTGTGTGTGTGTATGTGCTTCTATTTTCTCTCTCTCCCATCTCTCTGTTTCTCAGGAGTTCAGATGGTCTTTCACACTTTTCACCTGGAGAGTTCCCATGACTATTTACTGATCACAGAGGATGGAAGTTTTTCTGAGCCAGTGGCCAGGCTTACTGGGTCGGTATTGCCTCACACTATTAAGGCAGGTTTGTTTGGGAACTTCACTGCTCAGCTTCGGTTTATATCAGACTTTTCCATTTCCTATGAAGGCTTCAATATTACATTTTCAGGTATGTTGGTCTTTCTGCTGTTTCTTTCCTCTGGCAATAATACTGTCATTTCTTTCTGTGTGCGAGTGTGGGCGTGGGTGAGTGTGCATGTATGCGATTATGTGTGAATGTGGGACTGTGCTTGGAGAGGGTGTGTATGAGTGTGTGTATGTGTGTGTGAGGAGTATGAGTGTGCATGGATGTGTATGTGTGTGTGTGTCTATGTGTGAATGTGTGCAACTATGTGTGTGTGTTTGTGTGTATGAGTGTATAAATGTGTGTGAATGTGTGTGGGGTATAAGTGTGTATAAATCTGCATGAGTGTGTATTTGTCGTAAGAATATATGTAAATGTGTATTGTGTGAGTGTGTATGTGAATGTGTGTGTTCATACGAGTGTATGTAAATGTGTGAGTATGAGTGTGGGAGTATGAGCATGAATGTACGTGCATGTGTACGTGAGTGTATGTAAATGTGTTGGAAGGGTGTATGTCAGTATATGTGTGCACGTGTGTATGTGTGTGTGCACATGTTTGTGTTTATGAGTACGAGTATGTAAATATGTGGGGGGGAGTATGAGTGTGTGTGTAAACATGGTGTGTGAGTGTGCATATGTGTGTGTGAGTTTGAGAGTGTGTAAATGTGTGTGATTATGTGAATGTGTTTGGTGAGTGTGTGTGAGTGTGTAAATGTGATTGATAAGTGTGTGTTTGAGTGTATGTCTGCGAGTGTGTGAATGTGTTTGGTGAGAGTTCGTATCGCTGTGTGTGAGTGTGTGCATGTATTTGCTGTTGTGTGTATGTGTGTGTGTGTGTGAGAGAGAGAGAGAGAGAGAGAGAGAGAGAGAGAGAGAGAGAGAAAGAAAGTGAGAGATTGTTTGATTGATTGATTCCAGGCAAGTTTCCAACCAACGGGTTGCAGGAGGCTGAGTGCCTCCACGAAGCAGGTGCAAGGACATCTCTGAGGCATCCAGAAAATGCCACTTTGTGTTATATTACTTGCAAATTCCATCTTTAAAAAGCTGTAAAGAAACTATCTTCTGCAAAACCCTTCTTGCTCATTTCCCTTCACCGATTCTAACAAAATCTCTGAGGAAACCTTCCTCATTGGGAGGCACTCAGTATGAGTCATCATCCACTGGTGTTGGTTCCTATCTTCCTATAGATGCCAATATTTGTACTGAGAACCACCCCAGGATAAAGAAAGCATGTGCACACACACACAGTGAGGATGAACTTGTAGTTTGCTCTAATAGACTCATACACTGTGACAAAGCAATATACCAGGTTAAGTAACCTTTTGTTTTAAATTATATCAATAATGTTTAGACAGGGTGTATGTTGCATCAGACATTATTTGTGTGGGTTGGATTTTTTAATTTGTAGAGTTCTATGACATAGGGTTTTTTTTTAACAAATAAAAAAATGCACACACTGAAAAACTGGTCAAGCATGAGCAAGATAAATTTGGTCACATACACAATGTTCAATGAATGTATAGTGATTAAGACTTCTGCAATATCTTCATAATTAATATCTATCCCCCTACACCCCATCAACAGAAAGAGAACCACTATTCTACAATTGCTAATGGTGTAAACAATTACGTTAGCTTGCTTTTGTACATAAGATGCTTTGACATAAGTGTTTCCTCTTTATTGTTCATAGACCAGATGTAATGTAATTTTCATAAGATAATTTCTGAGTACCACACTCATGTGTGATTTTTTCTACTTTTAAGACCTCATAAACTCCTTAAAGCCAAGTTTTGAGATTTTAATGCAAAGTTATGAGATTATGTATTACAATATTTGAGTATTTATCTCATATTCTGTACTAAAACTAAAAATCTTGTTAGAAGGGATTCTGTTCATTCTTCCTTCCCCAAAAAGTAGCCCTCTTCCTATTTCTTAGACATATAATTGGCCCTTGAATAGGGATTAGAAGCACTGACCCCCTCACAGTGAAAAATTCAGAGATAACTTCTAACTCCTAGAAATTTAACTACTAATAACCTATTGTTGACCAGAAGCCTCAATGATAACATAAGCAGCTGATTAACACATAAACTAGTAACTACATATATCTTATGATCCATTTTGACTTTTTTTTTTTTTGAGTTGGAGCCTCACCGTCACCCAGACAGGAGTGCAGTGGCTGCTCCTGGCCACCGCAGCCCTTGAGCCACTGGCATCCAGCGATTCTTCCGCCTCAGCCTTCCAAGTAGCTGGAACTACAGGCACACGCTACCACGCCCGGCTAATTTTTTGATTTATTGTAGAGATGAGGTCTCACCAACTTGCCCAGGCGGGTCTCGAACCCACGGGCTCAGGCAATCCACTCACCTCAGCCTCCCAAGTTGCAGGATTACAGG